TGTCCCTGTGTTTCAGCAGGCTCTGGGCTTGGTGCTCATGTCTCTCAACATCCAAGCAGGGCCATCTGTAAGAGTGGGACCTCTGTGAGGATCGAGTGTCGCTTTGTGGACTTCCAGGCCCAAGTTGTGTTTTGGTACCGTCAGTTCCCCAAGCAGAGTTTTGTGCTGATGGCAACCTCTAATGTGGGATCTGAGGGCACCTACGAACAAGATTTTGACAAGAAGAACTTTCCCATAAGTCACCCCAATGCCTCCTTTGCATCTCTGATGTTGACCATCGCACATTCTACAGACAGCAGCTTCTTCTTCTGTGCTGGTGACACAGTGCTGGGTGGAAGTCAGAGACCTAGGCAAGAAGGGTTGCAGCAGCCTTCCCCTCCCCCACAGACCCCAGGGGCCCTGTGGGAGGAGCCTGGGGGAGGGAAAACCACAGCTTCTGTGAATGAGACCTCTGGGAGCATGTATGTAGGGGCATTGTGTGTGTGTGTGTGTGTGTATTGTATGTATGTAAATATAGGGATAATTGAGGTGTGGACAGTTGTGGGGAGGATTTTGTCTAGACTTAGAAAAATGGGAATAAATTTGGCCAATAAGCTGACCAACTAACAAGGAAAGTTCTCCCATATTTGAAGACATGGATCGATGCCTGACTTGACCATATTGTTGTCCATATGCTCTTGTTGACTCTCTGTATAATCCCGCAGCTAGAGCTGTAGACATTTCCACATATGGCTGTACATTTCTATGAGGATTCCTTTAGTAGCTGACTCTCTACAACTGATCAGCACTATCTTCTCACCATACTGGACTCTCAAGAGCAAGAGATAACATGAGGCAACCAGGCAGACAGAGTTACTCCTAGAAAGAATTACTGCTGAGGTACCTGTGGGTTCTTGATGATGAACAGGAAGAACATAGGCGGGAACCCCCGCTGCAGTTACAGAGAGTATCTGGAACATACCTAGAGAAGATTTTGTTGAACTCCTCTTGGGATTGTGGTCAATAGTGAGAGAAGGCAGAGGAACCCAGTAATGAAGACTTTAGATTCCATGGCTGACAAATCTAGAAAATTCTGTCAGCAGGCAGAAGTTGAGCACTGAAGGCAGGTCCTTGGAGAAATCATTTTCTAAGGGGAAACAAAACATGACATTAACCAACAAATCAGCAGGATCTAATTTACAAAAGAGCCAAGTACATCAGCTCCATTTATTAGAAGAAAAAAATGTGTCCATTTAAACTTGAAGGGATGGAACTAGGTAACCACACAGCATCTGTCTTGCATATGGTTGTGTGGGGAGGGGGAGAAGTTTCAAAGGCCCATAGTTCAGTGTTAAATAAATAACCATGCATTGACAAGCAATGTCTCCATGTTTTGAATCACAAGTTATGATGGATTAAGTTCTATGCATAAAAATTGTGAGAAAAAACAAATATACGAAAGAGTTACAGGGGATTTGAGGTCTTGAAAATGGAAGATGAAGAGCATTACCTAGTGAGAACCAGGGAGCAAAATGGAGCAGGTTCAGCCATCACCAAGTGGCCTGACCATAGGGGACGCTTACTATCATCTGCATTGCCTTTTTCTCAAGAAAATCCATAGCATGTACCAGCTCAGAGCAGAGAGAGATATATCACGCTTTAACTCTGCCCTGTGGAACAAAATTCTTGGCTGCGTGGTCTTTGATTCCTGGCAGCAGATATGTACTGGACAAATAGGTAGAACTCTGTTAGGGGCTCTCAGACCCAGTACCAGGGATCTTCTTGTGTCATTTTACCCCTGCTTCCTCCGACCCCATGATCCCAGAGCTCTGACTCTAATTTCTGGGTGCTTACCCAATGGTTCTTGTGGACAGTACAGTTCCACAGACATCAAGAAATGACATCTCATAGAAAAAAAGAAGAAAAAAATTACACAACAAATTGACATTGAAATACTCTCAAAATAAGGCCTAGTAACATATGGGCTATTGACAACATGTTTAGCTTAGATGTGAGTGATCCATACTGTGTATGGCAGTATCAATAATGACACAAAGATTAACCAATAGGAGCATGAAGGAATAAAAAAGGTATGATAGGAATTAGACCTGACCCAACTTAGGGAGACACTAGATAAATAAGGTTCCACAAAACTAGTTTAAAAAAAAAAAAACAAAACAATTCTAACGTGCTCTGGAGATGGGGGACGAAATGGAGCTTGGAATAAGCTAGGTTCACCCCGTCCTGGATTGACCGTGAACAACGCTGGTGCTGGAATCCATGAGGGAGGCTGGCTGTTTGTGCCCCATTCCCCCTGAGTTCTTAGGGAGGGCTGGTGGGTCAGGGTGTCCCATTGGTGAGCAGGACTGGGGGTCAGCATGAACAGCAGAACGTGGAATAGAGAAAGGTCAGCACACACTGGCACCACGGGCAACCTTTATTCCTTTTTTTTTTTCCAGTGCTGGGAACCACACCCAGGGCTTCATGTGGACCTGTCAAGTACTCTAACACCTCCTCCCCAGCACCTCTCATCTTCTTTTTCACAGCATAATGATGATTTCAGAATGACAGGCACTTTATTTTCCCTTGATAGTTTTAGGCATTTCTTCTCCCTATGATCAACTCTAAGCCAACCCAGAACCATTCATTCCACAATGGAAATTCTCAGAAATATTGTCCTGTGTAGCTAGGTTGACATGGTAAAAGAACACCACAGTGAGTGCTTCTCAACAAGAACATGAAGTTTTTGCTCTCATCCTGGGGGCACTTCCAGCCTCTTCTTCCCAGACAAAGCACAAAGCTGGGCCTCAGATCACCCATAGTAAGGAGTCCTTAGCTACCCAGTGCAGAGGTAGTTTCATTGTGAGGTGGCCCAATTCCAAGAGGCCCAGTCAACCAGGAAAGACAAATACAGTCACAGGACCATGCAAATGCCCTTCAGCAGATACATTAACACTGATGTAATGCAATAGTTATATTTTTAGGATAAAAATCCTTTTTTTTTACTATATCACAAATAAAATTTGATGGTTCAAGTCTTAATTCAATCTTTTAAGCTCCCTGCTCCAGAGAACTATAAAAAAAACATTACATGAAAGTACAAACAGTACTGTTCTCAAAATAAATGTGTGATGTTTTGGAAAAAACCTATCAGCTCTAAGAATTTTTTGTTTTGTTTTGTTTGTAATTGCTAGACGTTTTCAAAGCTGGTCCACTAAAACACAGAGCCCAGGGAGTTCCTTAAATCACCAAGAATCCATTTCCCATGGGCATTACTAGTGTGACCTCCATTTTAGTAAAATGATAAAAATTAATTACTGTCATAACTTTCTTTACATGAAGACTTACAGGATAAACCAGCATTGTTTTTAGAGCCAAGTCCACTGAGATGTGGGGGGCATTGTTATGAGATAGATGGTCATGAGGTGTAGAGCTCACTAGTAGGCAGGAAGTGCCCTCACCTGATTATAAAGAAGCACTGAACTTCCAGCCCAGGTGCTGCTCTGGGCACTGAGAATTCACAAGATAGAGCCGGCCTGTAGTCCAGTGGTTAACAGCCATGAGTTGTCCTGAAGGGTTGACTCGAAGATAGCACAAGAAGCTAATGATTGAGTAAAATGCATTTACTACCTGAAAGTATGTCCCCTTTGCCACCCAAGAAACTCGCTGAAATCGTCCCAGTGTTATGGGTCTCAGAGCACCTCTACACATCTGGAGGTTGACCTGGCAAGCCTCTGAGGCCTTCTCCAGCAAGATGGTTCTTTCACAGGAAGTTGGAAGCTCCTTGTATCACTGGCAAGGGCCACACCAGGGGGCAGATGAGAGCACCCCAGGACCCTGTGTTCAGGAGCCCATCCTCCAAGGCTGGGAAGAGGAAGAAGGGTCAGACCTCCCCAGAGAAGGTGGTGTGAGGCCAACGCTGAAGATGCTGCTGCTCCTGCTGCTTCTGGGGCCCAGTACGAGCCTTCTCCTGCCTGGGAGAGTGGGCGTGTGTGTGCGTGTGCTGGTGTGAGTGAAGTGTGCCAGGCATTGTGGAGTGTGTGTGCTTCTAAAAGTGAGAGGGCGCTTCCAGGCTGGCTGAAGTATACAGGGTGAGGCACCAGTTATGACCCAGGGAGTCTGAGAGGATGCTTGGGGACAGACAGGGATTCTCCAGGGGCTGGGGGAAAGGTGATGGCAGAGGCTGAGTGTCCTGGGTCCTGTCTGACTTGGTCCTGCTGGTCTCTTCTGTCCCTGTATTTCAGCAGGCTCTGGGCTTGGTGCTCATGTCTCTCAACATCCAAGTAGGGCCATCTGTAAGAGTGGGACCTCTGTGAAGATCCAGTGTCGCTTTGTGGACTTCCAGGCCTCACTGTGTTTTGGTACCGTCAGTTCCTGCAACAGGGCTTTGTCCTGATGGCAACCTCTAATGTGGGATCTGAGGGCACCTACGAACAAGATTTTGTCAAGGAAAAGTTTCCCATCAGTCACCCAAACTTCACCTTTGCATCTCTGATGGTGACCAGTGCACATTCTGCAGACAGCAGCTTCTACTTCTGTGCAGGCAGTGACACAGCGCTGGGTGGAAGTCAGAGACCTAGGCAAGAAGGATTGCAGCAGCCAGGCCCTCCCTCACAGACCCGCTCCTGGGGTGGTGCTCAGGCACCACAAGTGGGCTGTCCATAGGGGGCGCTTCCCATCATCTGATTATGCCATTTTCCTCAAGCAAATGCTTAGCATGTACCAGCTCAGAGCAGAAAGACGATACACCATGCTTTACCTCTGCCCTGTGGAACACGATCTTTGGCTGCATGGCCTTTGATTCCTGGCAGCAGATATGTCCTGGGAAAATATGTAGAACCCTGTTAGGGGTTCTCAGACCACAGTACCAGGGCTCTTCTTGTCCTCTCTCCTACCCCTGTGATCCCAGAGCTTTGACTCTTACCCAATGGTTCTCATGAACACTAAAGGTCCTGAGAAATCAAGAAAACTCATCACATGGATAAAAAGAAAGTGACATTGAAATACTCTGAAAATAAGAACTAGGAACATACTGGCTGTTGACAACGTGTTTGGCTTGGGGTGTCGCTAATTTGTGCAGTGCATGTCAGTGTCAATAATGACACAAAAATAACCACCGTATGAGCTTGAAGGACTAATAACATCAGGAATCAGAACTGACACAACTTGGGGAGAAACTTGATTAGGAAAGGTCCAAAAGTAGTTAGAAAAAAAAATTCTAACCAGGTCTGGTGATGAGGACGAACTGGAGCTTGGGGTAAGTTAAGTAGACACAAGCCCTGGATGGACCATGAGTGAGGCCAGTACTGGGATCCATGGAAGGAGGCTGGTTCCTTGGGT